GGACTAGCTATTTTGAGAGAGGAAATCTTGGCTCATGTTCATTGAATTAAATGACCAAGAGCAGCCTGTAATGTGGGAGAAAAAGGGATGGAGAAAAAGGAAGGAGGTGGTGAGAGATACCAAAGACGTGGAGCACCACTCATGTTCTCTCTTCTAAGTCCTCTGTTTTTCTTCCCTCCAGAGATTATATTTTCCAGGTGGACTTGGAGGTTTGGGAAAGAACTGGTGTGTGTGCAAGGATCTAATATGCAGAAAATTCATGTGCTGTATGCAGACTTCGCATGAAAGTTTATTACAGAAAGGTGCACGGTGATGTCTTCAGTTGAGTTTGGCTCTGAAGCTTTAGGGATATAGGAAAATAACCTGTGTACCAGCCCATGTGGGCTGGTATAAAAAATACAGAATACTGTCCAACTCTTGTTAATGTTGTTCTTGAGTTCTTTTCTCAACTTTGGATGTTCTTGAAGAATTAGCTTAAAAAGCAGTGCTTGAGATATTTAGACAGAAATGGTGCTGCCTCTCTGGAAAGGAGTCATAGGATCACAGAATGGTTTGGGTTAGAAGGGATCTTAAAGCTCGTGTGGTTTTAACCCCTTGCCATGGGCAGGGACACCTTACACTAGAGCAGGTTGCTCCAAGCCCTGTCCAACCTGGCCTTTAACGCTGCCAGGGATGGGGCAGCCACAGCTTCTCAGGACACCCTGTGCCAGCTTCTCAGCACCCTCATAGGGAAGAACTTCTTCCTGGTATCAAGTATTCCTAGTGTCCAGTTAATCCAGCAGAACTGTGAACCAGCGCATGGTACCGTGCCAGTGTGTGTTTACAGCTGTAATTGTGAATGACTTGCTCTGTGAGACAGAGCTTCAATACTGCCTTTTTGTTACAAATACAGCATCTTCTGTGCTATTGTTTAAAGACTCCTCTGAGAAGTCTGGTTTAACAGTGGAGCTGAGTGAATAATTCAGAAACTTTTGACCAAGCACTGTTTAAATTCTTAAATGAGCTCACCATAACCTTTTTATGCACCCCTCCTGCATGTGTCATACAAATATTAGAGTAATTGAGTTTTACTAGTGCAAACGTTTCTGTGAAACAAAGTTTTAGAGCTTGATGCATGACTGTTTATGGAAAAGGGAATGTTAAAATCTCACACACCAGTGTCTATGCCAGAAACTTGGGCTTGCTTACTTAGGATGAGGATGGGGGGCTGGGACCCTCGGCTTCGTTTGAGCAGTCCTAACAAACTAAACTCATTTGGCAGATGGATTCATATGCAGTTTAAAAGCTGCACACACATTTGAAAGCATTTCAGCTGTATCTCTTTTCCAGGCCATTCTACAAACGGTAGCAGTACTTTAAAATATTTGCCTTTTTTCAGATAAGTGCTGTTTCTGTCTCTTTTTCCTCTTCTCCCCCCTTCATGTGGGTGGAAGCAGCACATTCAAAATGCATCTGCTTAACATCACTGATTAGCATAACACAGGGATACTGACCAGTGAAAAGTCATCTTCCTTTGGCTTGAAGTCCCATTCAGCCTCACAGATGGGTAATTTGTGTGGATTTAATGTAACTGCTCACATGTATTAATACTTTCAGACTTGCTGGTGAAAGCCCATTAATGGTAAGTCACTTCTTAGTACTGATGGTCTTTGCAGGGCTTCTATTTGCCTTTTAACCAGGGTGTCTTGAGAACCTGCATTCATTCATTTGCTTCTGAAGAGAAAAGGAAGACGTAAAAATCCAAAGCCAGCTCAAGAGGCAAGGTTGTGAATTAGGTAAGCAGCTGGTGATGCAGTATTCCCAGTGGACATTTGTTGCTTAATTGGTTACAAGAATTATTAGAGGCTGCTTATTCTGTTTGCACACAACCTCCTCCTGTGCATGCTCTGGCAGCTCTCTAACCTTTCTGACATCACCAAGTGTGTGCTGCAGCTACCCTTGGAGGATGAGATGAAAACCCCATACTCTTTCATTGTGTCATGAGTTTGCAAAGTCTTAATTGCATCTGTGGGGTTTGCTCTCTGTTCAGAATAAGCAGGCTGTGTCTTGGCATCCCATTACAACATTCCATCCTTGGCAGTTCAAGGCCAGGTCGGACAGAGTCTTGGGTGACATGGTTTAGTGTGTGGTGTCCCTGCCCATGGCAGGAGAGTTAGATTAGAACTAGATGATCATAAGGTCCTTTCCAACACTATTCTGTGATTCCCACTGAAGGAAACACCCTTTGCACTTCGATAAACTTGTCCTTATTCATAGTGCTAAGCTGGAAATCAACATGTACAATTGCTTTTGTGCATTGTTGATTTATCACAGCATGTGAGCTCTTCAGATGTTGTGTTGCAAAGCTTCTGTCAAAATAGGTGAGCAGTATTACCCTTATTTACTGTGGGCAGTCTGAGACTTGGCAGCTTCTGAAATACCCACTAAATCTGAGTGCTTGAATAAGCTGCTGTAGTTTATGACTGCAGTTGGTGATTGCAACAGGCAAGATCTCCACTGAAGCACAAAATGGACAGAGTGCCAGCAGGGCTTTGCCTCAAAGTGATGTGTGTGAAGAGATGCAAGCTGGTGGCATAATAGAAAGTGACTGTTGTCTCCTGGCTCTGTAATTCTGTGCTTCATCACTAAGAAGAAGTTACACGAACACTGAACAGACCATACAGCTTGTGCTGAAGATTTGTATAGTCAATAATAGCAAAGGAGAAACTGGGTCAAAATAAGTTCTGGATTTTGTTGCGGCTGTTTGCTTTTTGGTTGTATGCTGCAAAGTATTCAACCAAAATTGGTTTATTTTGGTGGTATTCTGCAAAGCAAGAGAAGAAAAACCTGTCAGCCTTTGGCAGCCTTGGACTGACTGACTTAAGTATTTTTGATACTTCACCATCCACCTGGCAACCTGTGTACTATCTCTGCTGAGTCTTTATGGCATTCTAGGCTTGGCTGTTCCCTCTTTCCCTATCTGATTCAAACTGGTATCTGTCCAGAACTGCATCTTTGAAGTCTTCCTCTCCCATTTAGCATTGTTAGAGAGGAAGACAATTAACAACTTTGTGTATTTGGACTGGATGGAGTCATGATGAAGTATAGTTGAGTAGTTAGCTTTATTTAATGCTGAATACTGCTTTCTGCTGTGGGTGTTTCAATTCTTGTGTATTTTGCTAGTTCGTTTGGATCACAGGCTGGGAGAAGGGAAGCAAGAGGCAGGGTTTACCCTTGAAACCATCGTTGTTAGCCCTAATTTTTGGTAAAGCTTTGCTGCTTTAGCTCAATCTTTTTGACTTGAGAAATGTGTATTTGTTTGTATTTCCATCTAGTTAAATTGTAAAAGTATTTTAACTGTACCAGATTGTTTGAACATTAATAGGGGGAATGTTTTTCGGTCTCAATAGAGTTTCCAGGCAGCTTTTCATTTGCCAAGCCCTATACTGGGCTCTCTGTGGTGGGGTTTTGCTTGGTTAGCTCTAAGAATCTGCAAAGCAACTGGTCAAAATTGCTGACACATGTTAAGTAATGTGGAAATCACCATCCTACGCTATTGATGTCCGAGTGCTCATGTTGGCAATAAGAACAGGATCTGACCCTGAAAATTATGTGTATTGTCTTAATCTGGAGGGCATTCTGAGGCAGTGTCTTCTTCCCTGTGACTCTGGCAAGTTTATCCTTTTGGTCTTGGGTGTTGTTCTAAAATAAATAATTTGCTTAGTCTCTTAAATATCCCATCCCATTCTGCCTCATTCATGTATTTTTGGGTTATCCAGCCATGCGTATGTATTCGATGCCAATTCAGGAGTAAAATCTCAATTCTGTAGTTGAATATCAGGAGAGGTAATGCCTACTTCTAACAGTAATGCTGTTGGTTTAATTCTTATTAATAAGAAATCCATCATCTTTCACCTCCTTCCTTCAACCGTCTACTTTTCAGCTTTGGAGCAGCTGTAATCAGCCTGTATGACTTCCCTTCCTCCTCTCATGAATAAATCCAGCTACCTTATCTTCTGTATCAGAAAGTCTTCCCTGGTTTTAACAGCCTCTCGAGGAGCATATAAAAGGGGCTTTCACTGCCTAACAGGAAGCAAAATGAATAGAGGAACTTTTGATAATGGCCTGTCTGTCTGAGCGGAGGATCAGCCCGACTAAATTGTACCAGATTAGTGAATGATAGTGCTTCAGCCGGGGCCAGAATTGTAAGTTTTTAATCTTGGAACAAGCAATGACTTCTTCCTCTTAAACAGTGGTCAACTCCCTCTTTGATTTGGAGGCTTGCAGTCATCCATATTCATTCAGATAGTTTGGGTGAGTTTTTTCCCCCAGTCTCCATTCATGCATGTTATCAAGCCCTGAGTGCTTTTATTCGGTAGCAGTGATTTTTTTGGTAAGATCTATTGTGGCCACATGCTGCTTCTGCCAGTAACTTGCACTGAGCTTTGGATGGTTTTATGCCTAGAATGAAGTCTTATATGTCCCAGCTTTCTTAATTTCAATCCATGTTGTGCTGCCTTGCAGTCTTTTGCAATTAGCCCTCGGGTGATCTGGATATTGTTTTCATAAGCAACACTTTTGTTTCCTGCCACCTTCAGCCTCACTGGGGTGGGTGATGACTCCTCTCTTCCCACCCCACAGTTTGGTCCGGATTTACTGATAATCCAGCTCGATGGGAGGGAGAAATGACTGAAAAATCTAAATGGGGCAGTTTAGCTAATAGCCTTAGGCCTGGCTTGTCTGCTGGAAAAGGGTGGTTTTATTGCAGTCCGATGTGATTGACATTGGAGGGATTGCACTGGCATAATACTGGCAACAGCAGCGGAAAATCTGCCCTATTGTTTCTGATATGTTTGCTGCCTGAGGAGCACCTTTGTGTTACAAATAACTGTCTGAAATGCAACTGATGGAGCAAATGTACTTCTTTTTCCTTTAGATCACTGACTTTTCATGTTCCCAGGAAAACAGAGTGAGAGTATTATCCTCCTTACTAAAATTTGCCTTTCTCTGTGTTTTTTCAGGCCTTTTTTCTTGGATTTTAGTACTGGAAAACTCTCTAATGACAAGTTTGCTTAGGTAAGTGAAGCAAGATATTTTTGGTGGGTTTTTTTAGAATCACTTCCCCTATTTTAACTTCTTCTGCATGTTGTGTTGTAACTGAGCTGCCAGCTGTACTGCGTGTGCTGTGGTTCAAGCTAGAAAGACATAGTAAACAGAAGTAGGGGTAATGCCTGTAGTGGGACATAAGGACCTCATTTATTAATTTAATCAAATGAAGTGGATGTGGTGCATGGTAATGAAATACAACTTTCATCTGCATATAACTGAATAATCTCACCAATTCATAACTTTATTTTCAAGAGATGATTTGCGTTTTAATTCTGTTTATTTTCTGGAGATTAAACCTGTTGATACCACTTAGTTCATTAGGAAAATAAAGCCTTAATACTTCCAGGTCTATGCATACAGTTGCTTTTCCTCCACCCCCTTATCTTCCTTCTTTCCCTTAAGAATTCTAGGTAGGAGTTTCTGACATAGAGGGCAAATCATAAGGAGCTTGGGAGTTAAAACTCTAAAATCTATAAATATTTTTTTTTTTAGCATAAAAGATGGGAGAACCTAACAAACTTAACACCCCCCTTCCATCTTCTGAACCCCATCTATACCTCCAAAATGCTAAATTTAAGCTGATCAGTGATAAACAGGATTTGAGTGTTAATGGCAAGCACATGTGCTTGCCTACTTCTAAATACCTTTGCAAACCCAGTTCCTGTGCTGTTTAAGTAGCAAAGGGGCATTCTCATGAGCCCAAGTTCAGCCCAGTGGTGGCTTGAGTTAATGGATGGAAGACTGAACTGTGCTGCTGTATTTTCCTTTCTCTGTGATAGAAAGAAGATTTGATTGACCTCTGATGCAAGGCAAGAAGTTCATGGCCAGATATGAAGCTAATTTGATATATTATTTGAAGTTGCTTGTAATCCTGGATGAGGCCAAATGGCAACTGCACTATTCACGTGGGAATATAGTATCCTAGCATCTATGCTGACAAAGATGAAAGTGCTGCTGTTCTTTGTAAACTGTCTCTGAAAGCATTTTCTTTTCTCTCTTTGTGTTTTCTGCTGCTGGGTCTGTAGCGGTACCCACCCTCTCTCCCTTTTGATCTCCTTCCAGTGGATGGTCAGCATGGAAGCTTCTGGCCTCTGTCTCTTGAGATTATGGGCTTCTGTGAAATCAAACTGGTCCAGTCTTAAGTTGTTTCCAGTCTGTTTCTCCCTGGCATTTGTCTCTTCAGGGAGGACTTCAGGATAGTGAGTGAACAGGTTTTCAGCTGTAAAACCTCATTTTGGCAAAATGGATAATTCCAGAGAGGCTCTTGGGTTCCCTTTCATTATCCTTTCAGGTAGCTGATCTGAGCTCATCTGTCTGCTGTTCCTTTGCCAAGGTACTGAACTCAAGTATCTTGTGTAGTGTGGCTTTGGGCTTTTTCACAAACAAATGTGAACTGGCTGGTGGCCTCCAAGCTGTGGGTGCTGCACCTAAGGTGAACTTCCTGGTCCTGATAGATTGTCTTCGGTTTGCTGAGCTGTGATCAGGAGTGGACTGTAGTACGGAGCTGAAGCAGGATGTGTAGACATCCTATGGTACATGTACAACGTGTTGCTCCTGAGGCATGCTTGCTTGTTCCAGGTCACAGTGTACTTGCAGTTGCTTTGTGTAGCTTAAGGAGTGACTAACTAGCAGCCTGAGGCTGTATTTATTGATGCTGCCTGTCCAGAGAGCAGAGAGGACTCTGCAAACCGAAGGAGTGTTTAGGCAGCAGTTTTAAATCCTTTTTAACTTTGTCTATTAGACACATGTATGAATATATGCAGAGTTAGATAATAAATAACCCAGGGAATGGTGGTTAAGAGGAAAGGACATAATTAATTCTGCCGTGTTCTCTGCTTTAAAGTTGGATCCAGAGCAGTAGTGCGTTATGCTGGAAAGGTAAACACTGCCATTATTCAACAATGAACCGTGTACAAGGCTAACTCTGGTTTCCTGCTTTTGATGTAATATTTTTGTGGTTTGAATATCTTAGATGGTCTTTGTTTGGTACAGCAGAAGCCTGATGAACCCCTGCCCTTTCTGAAGGGTCATTAAAGCCTTTATTAGAGCCGAGTTTTGTACTGACGCTGCTTTGCTGGCGCAGAACGTGTGCTGTTCGAGAAGGCTCTCACTGTGTTTGCTGTGTTTAGGGGTGCTTGGCTGCTGCAATTACTGTGATGTAGTTTAGAGGGGAGGGTATTTCTGTTGCATCAGGTGATCCTTTTTCAACTCCCTGCATTGCAGTGTTGACCCGGGTCAGACACATGTGCCACATAAAGGTAATGCCTTTTTGTGGAGATGCTGTTTAAAAGTCAATGTGACTTTCTGTTAACCTGCATCTGTTTCTTTTTTCTCCTGTACCTGGGTGCAGAGAAAAGGTCTGGCTGGCAAATGCAACTTTACATGGTCCTTCAAACTTCATGTTTTTCCCATCTTTTTAGTGGGGAGAGGGATACAGGGGGAATCCTTGATTTGCATCTTGCAACATTTTAAAGCTGGTGTGGGAATGATATCTTTGCTAGAAGGTATAGGTGTCATGGTAAAAAGTTACCTAAAGCAAGGTAGTTAACTTCTTGGCTTCTGATGAATACTGATAACGGAAACAAATGCTAAAGACATTGCGGTTTGAAGCTCCCCCCTTATTACTCATAACACAGCCTCACCCTCTTCCTTCACACTTCTCATCTGAGCGCATTTCTCGATGCGTAGTTAAACAGACACAGAAAAAACAGCATAGAGTTTGTATACCTAGTCCTGTCTTGACCTTGCTCCCGACAACGAGCCTGAATATCAGAAGATCACTTGAGTTCGCATAAATGAAGATGTGTGTATCCCAGAACTGGTTGCTGTTGTGCAAGCTCTCAACGCCTTTTCCTGTGGAGTTTTCTTACAAGTTCTGCAGCTCTGGCTCTTCCAGCTGAAGCCTTGGGCAAAGCACACACATGGAGACACCCATGGAATAGCTGATGCAGCTCAGCAGCCGCCTCCTGAAATAAGTGGTGGAAGGATGCCTGTTTCTCTTTGTAATATTGTCTTTGGAAGACAAGCTATCTCCTCAGCATGTCCTTGGCTCTCTGTGCTTCCCTAGCAAACTATAGTACTGAATACTCTTTCACTGCTTCCAGCTCAGTTGAAAAGTCCCTGGTTAAGAGCAACATGGTCAGCTACTTCTGTGCTTCTTGAGGATCTGCTGCTTTTCATTGCAGAAAGCTTGCAAAATTCCCAGGAATTTGAAGAGGGAATCCTTCCTTGGCATGGATTCAAAAGAAGGTGCACGTTGTCAACTAGCACAAGCTCTTCTTTCAAAATATAAAATAGTATTTATATTTGGGGGGGGACCCAATAGAGAAATATTAGCCCTTGGTGGGTGGCAGGAAGAACATGGATTGGAGGGGCTATTGTTGTGTGGTTAATGTGCTGTTTGTTTTGCAGCCAGTCATCTTTCCATTTTGCTGAGGCAGATGGAGGGATTCCCAGTTCCATAAGCATAACCCTGGGAGAGATTAGGTGGGTTTAGGTTTCGCCACTTGGATGATGAGGTTAGCCTGAGACAGTGATGCATCCCTGTGTATGGAAATGGTCTTGGCCCAGATCTTGTCTAGTGATGTGAAGCTTGAGAAAGGACCAAGAGGTCAACTTCAGCTTCTTAAGGAATGCAGTATATGTTCATTCTGTGGCATGTGCGGATTGCTGCCTTTTTTTATTCCAAAAAGGGTAAAAATGTAGTTACAAGCTCGTGTTTTTTTTTAAATGCTCTAATTAGAGTTACAATTGGCTGTACAGTAGAGCCTCCTTTACACCTACATAAATATTTATATTGGTGATATATATTTATTTATTGCTTAAGCACTAATGATAAGGAATCCTAGTGCAGTTTATTCTGAGTTAAAAGCGAAGAACATTTTCCCCAGTCTCTGCCTCATAGCACACTTCCTCCACTTTACCTGTCTCCCTGCTATGAAGCTAAGCAATGTCCTCAATCTGCAGACACAAGGACTTATTTTTGCACCAGTAGTAGTCTTAAGTAATTACTCTGCAGCTCTATTACTTGCTACACAAGTGAGCTCTTCTGCTCGTGTCAGTTAAAGGTCTGACTTTTTTGATGGGGTCTAGAAGACTGAAGCTCTGAAACAAGCTAAAATGAACAGAAGCTTGTTTCCTTTTTGCTCACATGAGCACTTACTCACTTCCCCATCTGCTTTGACTTTGAAGATTGCTGAGGTTCTTCCTCTGTCTGACCCACTTGGCATAAGCTAGAGATTATCTTTCTTCAACAGCCAAGTTTATAGGGCTTCAGCTTATTCATAAATAATCCTTGGAGTTTTCAGTGCTGCCTTTCTCCTTCTCTCCCCTTCAAAACTGTTTTGCTGTCATTTGTGTGCAAATTGAGGAAATGTTTTTTCAGTCCTTAGATGGGAGAGTTGGTGCAATAACTAGGCAAGAGGGCATGTAAAATGTGCTGAGGAGATTTCAATCAGTATCTGTGATTTTAAGTATCTTGTGCAATTTCTATTTGCGGTTCTAGCACAAAAGAACATCAACCGCAGAGGAGAGCTTTGCTCTGCTAGCCCTTGTACAAGCACAGTCCCAGAGTGCAAAACCACTGTAAGACAAACTATGAGGCCTGGATACACAGAAACATCTTTATAGGAACATTAGTGGGCATGTGACAGACTCCAGTTTTGGTGGACTTGGAGGTTCTGCAGTCCAGTTTTTCCTGACTTGAATATTCAGGCCTTGTGATGTGCATGTGGTCCTTCTGCCCTCTTGGTAGCAAGAGGTCTTTGTGGAAAGATAAGCTGTAATTTTGTCCTGCTTTGAACATGTGCAAGTATTTCCTATTAGATGTACTAGGAGTATAAACAAACCACTTTGTTTAGTGTAGGCTCTTTATCCCAATAGAATTGGAGACATCTTACAAAGCAGTGACTGTAAACGTAAACCTAATATTTGTCATTATTTAAATAAACATAAATCAGATACAAATA